CTTCTGTAAAGATTTATAGAGTTGGAAACCCTGTGGAGCTGTTCTATTCTGTCCTATAGGGTCAGTATTAGTAGAAATTGACTTGATGGAAATGGAGGGTTTTTTTGGTAATTCTGACACACATTCAAACTTGAGTACCATGGAGTTACAGGGTATTTCATGGAAGGGCCTGAGACCAGGAGCTCAGGTACATTATGCCCAGGCTCTGACATCTGGGCCATGCTGTGATCAGAACATCTCACCCTATTTAGAGTTCTCACAGTTTATTCTTTAGGAGCCAGGGGTCCTCTTCAAGTTGGCTGTGTATTCTATCCTGTAAATTGCATCTCTCCATCTTTTTCATTCCCATGTCTGTATACACAGAGAAGTTCCTGGTGATTGGCCCCATGAACCCCATTGTGGCAGTGCTGGGTGGGGACATCAAACTGTCCTGTTTCTTGTCCCCTGTCATGAATGCGGAGAACATGGAGCTGCGGTGGTTCCGGTCCAACTTCTCAGAAGCAGTGTTCATCTATGAGAACCAGCGGGAGCAGAAGGAGAAGCAGATGCTACAATACAAAGGGCGGACCTCGCTGGTGAGAGACTTCCTCACTCAGGGGGAGGCGTCTGTACGCATCGACAAGGTTCGGGCTTCTGACAATGGGCTGTACACCTGCTTCTTCAGGAGTGGAGATTTCCATGAAGATGCCACTTTGGAGGTGAAGGTAGCAGGTTGGTGACTTGTCTATATATTGCAGCACCCTGAAGGGTTGGAGTTGGGTGCATCCTTAGGGATTCAGTCACTCATTTTATAGATACAGAAAAGGAGTCTCATTCATTCTTTTATTTAGTGTAAATGATAGACAGCTGCTAATCTGTGTGGCGCTATGGGATAAAGCACTGAACCACAAGGTCTTTTGAATAGCTAGGTTGGCTGTTCAAACTCACCAACCATTCCTCAGAAACCCTACACTTGGGTGGCTATGAGTTGGAACCGACTCAATGGCACTTAACAACAACAATAACAACAATCTGTGTCAGAGCCTGTTGTAGATGCCTGGGACATGTCAGTGAACCAAAAGAGATCCTTGTTGTGTAGAGCTCATATTCTAAATGCAGAGACAGAGAAATCACAATAAATAAATAGGTGATAGATGATATTAGAAGGTAAACAGTTCTGAGGACAAAAGGGAAAGTAGAACAGGGATAGGGGATCAGGATATGGGGGTGAGGACTGAGGAATGGGGACTGGGCTCGGCCTTACTGAGAATGTGCTGTCTGAGCAAAGCCTTGACAAAAGTAGTGATTTAGCAAAATGAATATGTGAAGGATGAGAAGAATTCCAAGCAGAAGGAAGAGCTAGTGAAAACTCTGAGGTGGGAGTGTGGCTGTTGTGTTCTGGGCTCACAGTGAGGCCTTATGACTGGTGGGAGTGAATGAGGTGTCAGTACTGGACAAAATGGTGTTCCTGGTGTAGAATGCAGAGGGGCACAGATACTGAAGTGTCACTTGAGTTCATTAAGCAAGCTTCCAAAGAACCCTCAAAGTTGAGGGGCTGAACTTGCAAAGGCTTGGGGCACACAGAGCACAGTATGCTTAATAACAATGAACCAGTTAGCCCTTGGTGCTAGAGTAGGTGGGCTCTGAGGGGATAAGTGGGGGGAGTTGGGGGCGGGGGAGTTTGAGAGATGCCTTTGAGGAGGAAGGCAGATGCTGAATTAAAGAAATCTCTGTGTCCAATTTCTACTAATACTGACCATAGACTAGAACAGCTCCACAGGGTTTCCAACTCTGTAAATCTTTGGAGTCCTGATGTGGTGCTGTAGGATACAGACTGGACTGCAAGGTTGGGGGTTCAAACCTAGCAGTTTCTTGGAAACCCTATACAGGGTTGCTATGAGTCTGAACCCACTTGACAGCACTTAACAGCAATAACAACTACTATGTTACAGAGTTCGGATGCAGACCTGAGGAAACGTTAAGCAGAGAAGCACTGGGAATGCTCACTGTGGCAGGGAGAACACCTGGAGGCGTGGGTGTAGTTGTGAGGCTGACAGGATGACTGTGTGAACTCAGGCAGTGGAGGGAGAAATGAGGGGTCAGGCAGAAGAGAGATTTAGAAAGTAGACTTAGCTGAGTGAGTAGATTTGGGGACAAAAGAGTCTGGAGATGGAATTGGGAAGCATAGACATTCTCAAGACTTTGCCTTAGATGTGTGCAGTTTAGTGGTAGGAACATTGATAATGATGTATTAATTATTTATCATTGTAGTAATACTAAGTAGCAATCAGTTACAAAATCTCAGTACTATGTATTAGCAAACATGTATTATTTTTTTTGAAGTGAACATAACATCAAGATTTTATTGTTTTAATAATAAAACAAGATGAAGCTTAGAATGGGATCACCTGGCTCTTACTCTTCTTATCTCCTCCCAGTTCAAAAAGCTTACATCTCTTAAGAGCCAACATTCTCTTAGAGCTGCAGCTTGGCTCAACACATTCAAGTCTCAACACAATCTTCTTTGTAGGTTTAGCCTTCCAGAAAATTGTCTTAGTCTGCCCACCATCTCTACTCTGCTTCCTGTCATAATGCCGCATTCCCTGGGCATACAGAGAATTTTTGCCCTTCTTGTACTGTGTCACTTTGTGGGGTGGGTGCTTGCCACACTTCTTACAGAAAGTCCAGTGCATTTTAGGAACATTCACCATGTTTGTGGGAGCGCTACTGGCATGAAAAGAAATGCAAACATATATTTTAACTTGAGCATTTTTTGCATTCACCTAACCTGGGCTGGGTTAAACTAATTTCAGTTGTGCTTCTTCATATATTTTTGGGACCTTGGGTGGGATTTCATATAATAAGAGTAATGGCTGATTACGGGTGATTCATCTGGAAAGGCTTGGGTAACAAGCTAATACTCCATGAATCTCATCGTTCTGTGTATGTCCCTCCCATGTAGCAGAGGGTCCAATGGCACATTACAGACCTTTTCTTGTGTCACATTTGCTCATTTCTCACTGGCCAAATCAAGTCACATGGCCTATTGAAAAGTCAGAGTGGGAGAGCATTACAAAGTATTGATATAGCAAATGGCGAGTTGGCTATAAAGAAGGGAGCGACCAGGACTATATTTGTATTCAATCTACCATTAGTTGTTGTGGTTGTTAAGTCTGTCGAGTTTGTTCTGACCCATAGCAACCCTGTATAGGGTTTCCGGGGTGCCGTTGGTGAGCTTGAACTGCCAACCTTGCAGTTCAAACCAACTTTGCAGTCTAGAGCATTCACCGACAGCCTCACATAAGGGAAAATTTATGAATTCTGTTATGTAATTTTGAGTTTGAAGTGCATGTCAGAAATCCTCATAAAGTAACCTCTGGGGATGTGCATATAAAGGAGGTAGATTTGGGAGAGAAAGTTGCTTACTTGACATAACTTTGGAAGTGATTTACAAAGAGAAGCAGAGTTAACAAATAGAAGTGTGATGTGAGAACAGATATTCAAGGACCAAAGTTTTGAAGTCTCATATTTCTCCTGGTTTTAAAGTGTAGGGGGATGGGGAGAAGTCCAGGAAAGAGGCTTAGCAGAGTGGTCTGAGGGGTGACATACCAAGCAAAAGGGAAGGGTGACCAAGCCAAGATGGAGCTGGCTTCAATATGGAGTCAACAAGGTCACATGCTGAACAAAGATGAGGAAGGGCTGCAGTGTGAGTGCTGGGCTTCCAAGAAGGAGATTGTCTTTAACTCCAAGAGTAGATTCAAGTGCATAGTAGGAGAAGTCAGACTATTGGGGACTGAGATGGATGTGAGAGATGAGAACATAGAGGTGATTTTTGGATTATAAATTTTACTGTTCTAAGAGGGGAAGAAGACTGTAAACATTTGAACATGTTTATGTATTTAGGAAAAGAAGTAGATGGAGAGGAAGAGATTAACAGTAAGGATGGTATGGGAAGTAAGAGGTGAGAGTGAGCAGAGAGGAGGAGAGAGAAGGAGGTGATGGTAATGGGACCAAGCCTTAGAAGAAGAGACGGTGGCCAGTAGGTTCTGGAGCTCACAGGCTGAATCATCCTTGAGTGAAGGAGAGTTCCTATCACTTTGTGGCATGTGACAAGAAAATGAGAATAAGATCAGTTTGCAGAAAAAAAATTTGTGAGTAATTGAAGCAAAATAGAACAAAATTCACAAATCTCTTAACTTCAAACATTTCCTATTTACTAGAATAAATTTACCAAAAACTTAGTTTTAAAAAAATCTTAGGACCTAGCTAAACTTATGCTCTTGAAAAGTTTTTGTAATGATACTATATTATTTCTCTGGTCTGAGTTTTGTTTATTGACTTATGTTTCCTGAGCTGCATGTCAATAAAATAAACTTAAATTTCTTCTTTTTTAAAAAAATTTGTGCCTTAGTTTTTTCTCTTCTGAGGTTAGGAAGAGTAGTCCCGTTGAGTTGAGTCTGAAGTATAGGACAGAGGAAAACTGCTCCATAGGATTTCCTAGGCTGAAAAGCTTTAAGGTGGGTTTGAATTTCTGACCTTGCATTTAGCAACCCAGTGCTTAATCCAGTGTGCCACCAGAGCCTAGTAATATCCACCCTCAGAGCTCCCAAAAGAGTCCTTATGCTCTTTTTCAGATTCCATTTGGTGAGAACTCAGTCTAAACATCACTTGGGGGTGACCTTCCCATGTTGTTATTAACTGCCCTTGAGTCTGTTCTGACTCATAGCAACCTTGCATAGGATTTCCTAGGAGTGCCTGGTGGGTTTGAACTGCTGACCTTGGTGTTAGCAGTCCAGTGTTTATCCTACAATGTCACATCAAGACTCAGACCTTCTCATAGAACCTTGAATGCAAGAGAATTGAGGCCCTATGAGTCACACTTCTAGCATCCCAGGCCTGCACCTGGGACAAGGTGGCCACTCTGACTCCACAGCTTCCTTTCTGCAGGTGTGGGATCTGACCCTCAAGTGTACATTGACGGACCAGAGGAAGATGGAATCCGCATGGTGTGCATGGCTTCTGGGTGGTTTCCGAAGCCCCTGGTTAAGTGGAAAGACCCGAGTAGAGAGAAGTTCCTGGCTTTCTCTGAGTCCTATGCTCAAGATGCTGAGGGACTGTTCAGTGTGGCGGCCTCGCTGGTGGTGAGAGACAGCTCTGTAAGGAACGTGACCTGCTCCATCCTCAACCCCATCCTGGGTCAGGAGAAGGTGAAGGCCATTTTCATCCCAGGTCAGCACTGTTGTTGCTTCAAGCTGGGCTGGGCAGAGGAGAATGGGGCTCTGATTCTACTAGGCTGAGCTGAACTGGGGTGCACCCTAATGATGTCTCTGGTGGGCCACAGAGCCCTTTTTCCCACAGGTCTCTCCGTGGATGCCAACTTTTGTGGTGAGCCTGACCATACTGATGCTCCTCAGCTTAGGGGCTGGCTATTTTCTCAAGAAAGAACATTCAACAAAGGTGCAGGAGTGGAAGAATCAGGAGGATCTTCAGCAGAAAAAGGGGGAGGACAAGAAGGACTTGGAGTTGGCCAGGAAGGAGGCAGGTAAGAGAGGGAGGGTCTGTGTTAGACTGGGGAGGGCAGAGCTGATGTTCTGAGGAAAAGCTGAGGGCAGGAACAGAGCTGGTAGCAGTGGTTTCCAGGAGACCCAGGGCCCTTACTCAGAACAGGAATCTCAGGAGATCCTGAGAGATGCTATGGGCCATGAGGGCTCGGATGGGTCTAGAAGAAGTTTCTGCAGTATACAGAGGGAGTCTTTTTGTGTGGGTTCTCCAGCACAGTCTTTCTTTTTTTGGGGCATAGAGTTCATGCTTTTTTTTTTCTTTTTCCCCATATCTTTCAGATGAACTACAGAGAGAGCTGAGTAAGTTCTTCTCTCCCTCCTGAACTCTCAGTGTCCTGCTTGGGGAAGATATTCTGTCTGATTCTTAGTTCACCTCATTTCCTGTATGTTGCCTTTCAGACTGGAGGAAGGCAATTTACCACACTGGTGAGTGACTCTCCAAATGTCCCTGGGTCTCCCATCCCACCTGGGTCCAGGTGTCCCCTCTCCCTGTGCCTGTCAGGTATATATATAAGGACTGGGCTCCCTG